CGAAGTCCCATCATCTTCATTAACACCAATGCATTGGTACTAATGAATATGTACAATTACAAAAGATGCAATCGGAATAGTGTACGGTTGCAGCGGGGCTGCCGTAGCTCTTTGCTTAGAGAAAGCTTACTAAGATCACCGACCTTGCGTTCTATACTAGAACCAGTACGAGTGTAGCGGATCACAATCCGCTACCTCCAAAAGTGCCTAAGAACTTTAACTAAGGCGAATACAATCTTTTGTTCAAAATTGAAACAATGTTTATTTGTTTTATTTGCGGCAGAGCGACGAGATGCTTGACCAGACTGTTAGAATTATAACCTCAGGTTTTCCTGATTAGACAGTCAAACCTAATGAATATGCATAACTACTGGCAGTCCCGCCACGTCGTTACGGTGTAGCCACACCATTGTGCGATTACACCGACTTGTGTAATCCACACCTTTGTACGGTCGCACCATCTTGTGTGACCCACCCGTTCATACAAGGGCACGTGTAACCCCGTCACAACGATTGTACAGTATCGAATGTATTAAAAGTATAAGATGGTATATGCAAGGTTACATTACCTTCCCTAGATCTTACCGTTTTGAAGCCCCATCCTCGAGATCAATACAAAGGCTGTTATGCACAATCACACAAAGGTGTAATCAAGAGTGTATGTTGCACAGAATTGTAGTCTGTGTGACTAGGCAAGCATGAATAGAGTGAAACACATGATGATTTATGAGACTGATGTTACTTCCGCAGGTTTATGTTGGGATGTAGGTAAGTTGCAAAATGCAGGCAAGCACACTGTATGTAGGGGTGAAAGATGAGCGTCAGAGCACCCTTATAAAGTTCAGGTTGTATTAGCTTCGTGGAAGTGCGGTGTAAAAATTACACCGCACCAACTATTTACAATGTGACAGATAGTGACATTTATTGAGCCATCTCTAATCAGGGAATTAGGGTTTTGCAAGTCATCGAAATATCTATCATTAATAAGTCGATCACTTCTGACTGCGTACGTGTGTGGCCGGAAGCTTCCAATAACAACACCATTTTACAACTTTGCTTTTCTAGAGTAACACTCTAATACTGTTACTCAAATTCGTATTTTAGCAACCAAATGTTGACTTTCAAACGTGACTACAAGTCGCTTCGCATACATTTCTACACGCTTCTTTAAATATATCTCGCAACTTCATCCGCGGCATAATTCAATTGTTTAGTTTAACTCTCCGCCCAGGGTGTGCTACTTCTTATTGGGATTGTTTTGAGTCCAAATAGCAAGTATAGTGAATTTGGACGTAACCGATCGTCTAGTTATTCGAAGGCAGACCATCTAGGCAGAACACCAGAGTCATTCCTGCCGCTATTTGGGATGCTAATGTGGCGACCTTTATTAACAATGCTAGCCTCCTCGCACTCGGAGTTGCTGCAGTAGACGCTGTATTTGCTTGCTTGATAGTCTTTAAACGTTTCGACCCTAACAATATCATCCAAACTGGCCCAGCATTTAATTAATCATCTGTTCTTATCATGACTGGTCCACAGATAACAATATCTTCACTTTTGTTGTGTATATATTATTTTAATGCTAGATATTACCATCACCACTAAATCAGCGTTCCAAAGTAATCAGAGGAATTTTTTGGCACCAAGCGTTCTTCCCAAACAACATGCAAACCCAGACAGCACCCTGTAGGTCTCTGAAGCGTCATAACATAGCCGCTGTAATGCTCCTCAGATGTAACACAATGCGCTTGCTGATACAAAATGCCTACGCACAAGAATTGTGATATTGGCGAACATCAAATTTTTCTAAAATTTTATCAACCGCATTATAGCATTGCTTATTAATAGTTGTATGATGATCCGTTTCGGCACCTTCTGAAGCAAACAGGAAGGTTATATTAAGATGGTGCGTAAGACATCGCGCTTGGGGCCTGGGCAGCAGTCGGTGGAGGAAATTTTACTGTATCGATCTATTCAGCAACCCCACGCCTTGAGAGCCCCTCGAGAGACGATTCGCAGACGTGGGTTAATCTATGCCTGGCTGAATGTGCGATTTCTTTGGTTGTAATACTGGGTTTGCGTTCATATTACGAAGGTCTCTCAAGCAACAACAATACAGGAATTCGCACCTCGGCAGCCTCGTCTAGATTAAGGGCGAATCACCAGGTTACTACCACGCGCACTGAATTAACAGAAGCACCGCATCTACCAGTCGATTCCATTCAACAAATGGCGATTGAGATTGCCAGCCTCGACCAGCGCTTGCAGTGTGTGGCGACTTGTTTTGCTTCAGCTTCGAGCCATGCAGCAAAGGCACGGAAACCAAAAATGATAAACTTTGAGCATCACATTGAACCAGCAGGCATTATTAATTTTTGTAGTATTCAAAAAGAAGTTAATGGGAGTAATGCTGATGACAGTGAGCGAAAAATTAACTCAGTCGACGCAATGGGTAGTTTACATAAACAACATTGTGTACGTGATATGGAGTCGACAGCTAGACGTCTGGACAATGAAGATGACGAAGAGACTTTAGGCGACAAGAAAGGCTTTCCTTCTGCTACAAAATTTTTGCTGATGTGTCGGGGATATGTAGTTCGCCTGAGGTTCAAAAATTTCTACTTTGCACTTGGTAGATGGCGATCGCGAAAGTGTAATTTATTTCTTAATCGTGTGTTAGTGTTTGCAGCACGTGAAGAACTTATAAACAGAAAGATTACACTCATGCGACAAGTGCGGACTCATAATCTTCTGCACTGTTCGCTGGCTTGTATACGCAATGTGGTACTAATGGAATTGCCGTCAAAGATGGCTCGCTTCGCAGAGACTGACTATCGTCTCCAGGACGTTAAACGCAAAATACTAAAACTCGTTTTCATACAATGGAAAATGGCAGCTTTGGGGCTTCGAAGCCGCAAAAACGTTGCAGCCGATTATAGAGCGCGCCATTATGCAGCTCGGCAACGACTAGAGGCGACAAAACGTTTCAAATTTATTACCCAGAATATGGTGTTCGAAGAGTGCAGGAAGGACATTATGCGCCAAATTCGTTTCCGCCATCCAATGCATGTGCTGAAAAGCTACTTCGGTATAATGAAAAACGTTATTTTCATACCTTTCAAGAAATTCATGGAAATTGCAATTAGTCACGATCACAGGAGAATTCTTAAGCGTGTCTTAGATGAATGGATTAAAGTTCATCGAGCGGCTCAATTTGACAAAGCAATCGGACGTCCTGTTACCCTAAAGCAGTTTGACCAGCATTTAAATATTCGTAAAATTTATGCTCACTACCGACGAAAACACATGCTTAAACATCTGCTTGCATGGGCCCGGTACGGTCGGCTTATTCGTCGTGTACGATGGCGCTTTGAGGCTTGCACACAAAAAAAAATGACTTGGCTTCTTGAGCGCTGGAGTATCCGAGCTCGATATCAGCATACTTTGCGCGACAACGTCGTTGAGGAATGGCACGCGTATTCAAGGCGCATGTATACGATTCCGTTTCGACGCTGGTACGTTTTTATGGCTTGTAAACGCACAGAACGCACAATCAAAGACAATATTTGCTCCGCTTACCAGAGTCGTCGGCGACGGCGTATCAAGTACACCTTTTTTCGACTGTGGGTTCTCCAGGCTTTGTTTGGAAATATTGAACACATGCATTCGAATGCTTGTCTACTACGCAGCCTTGAGGACCAGAAGCGCATGTGTATCGAATTACAAACTAATGCTGCCCTTTATCAAAGTAATATTGCAGAACTCCAAGCATCAATTGTGCAGCTGAAGGGCAAACTGATGGAAAAGCAGGATGAGCTCATTCAGTTACATGATAGTACTCAGACTACGCGATTTAGCATCCACCAAGCTGCACAGAATTTAGAACGTGTGCAGGGTATGTTAGACGCAGTGAAAACAATTCATCCAGGCACAATCGAACGCATCGAGACAATGTATAAGGACAACTCACCCCTCGTTCAAGACATTCATGATCTCATTATCCTTCACGCAGCAAAAAGACGCGAGCTTTTGTTTGAAATTGAATTAGATCAAACAGAGTCGGAGTTGCGGATTGCTTCGAAAAAAAATGACAGCCAAGATGACCAGATGTTATTGTATCGGGTAAAATGGGTGCTTTCTCGCCTAGATCTTGGAATGCATAAGCAAAATAAATGCGACTACAATACAGGGATGAACGGTCATTGTGTAGATACTTTCAACATGATGTGCGCACTTTTTGAGTTTATTCGGAATGGGGACACTGCGTCACTAGAACCAGAAAGCAATCCAAAGCATTACGGAAAGGTGCAAAGTAATAGAGGTGTCGGCTACACTTTGCAGCGAAATGACTTCAATTGTCATGTCGTTTGCCGTTCCGATGTTGTGGACGGCTCGGACACATGGGATTCGTTCTTACAATTGCTGATTAACAAGTTCGTACCAAACAATATGCTTGCTGTCAGAGAGCGTCTCGCGCGTCGTACAGCCAAATTGGATGCTGAAGCCAATGAGGCTAAAGCGGGTTTGCATCTTCACCATCTATACAGGTAGGTGACACTTTGTCACTCTTGCAGGACGTGCATTGCTTTATAGTATGGTTTGTGGACAGGAAACGGTAGTCGATTCTAATTAAAAACTTCGAACGAGTTAGAAGCGTGATAAACAGTTTACGCTGCCAGATTATCGATAAAAAGGAAAGTGTGATACGAAGACATAAAAACCTTGAGGAACGCATGCGTCGAATATACCCAGCTAAGTTCTGTGTAGCTCTGCTCCTCTCAAATAACTTTGTCTATCGACACTAGCATTTTGTTGCCTTGTTGCCGAAACAACATCTGATCAACTCAGCCTTGTCATTTACTGAAGCGAGCAACATTCGCTACTCATTTTGGTGTATCTTTGCAGCCAAAAATAATTTTTGGAACGACTTTCCAGCATACAAATTAATGTGCTCGCAGTAAGTGTTCATCTGCTTAGTGATGAGAAGGGATTCAAGACGCGAGGGTTGGCTTATTGACTTGAGGAAATTTTGGTCTTCTTCGGACATAGGCTCTTCCCCATTTTCATGGCGAACCTTATTCTCCTCTCGTTGTCTATTCTGCCATTGCTGATAGGCGACCCGCTGCTTAGATAATGCCCGTTCATAACCCTGAAATTTGTAGTGCTCCTGCGCCAGCTCGTCAGCCCATAGCGACATGTTTTTAAGGCTACTTTCCAAGTAAGCATTTGTAGCTAAATCCAATTTATCAAAATTGCTCATCGCAGCACTGTCACTAACATGCGTTGCTTGCTGCAGCCAGCACGTGATGACGTCCGAATTTCGGATTTCAATCGGGAGCTCCTCAACAACGGTGGCCGAGCGGATGTCACTTTTCGAAAAGGTCTCTTTTGTGAAGGAACCGCTCTTGTATGTGTCATAAAAGGTCTTTGTAAGGCGGACGGCACGCAAACTGAGCGAGCCCTTGGATGTCTCGGCTGAGTCGTAGATGATGCAGACGGCGTTTGGGCCTAACGATTTTTGGTATTGGAACTGGTGGTCAATGAATGAGGCTGTACAAAATGTGCCCATAGCGACGGACTGGTACCATCCCACCTTGTTATTATCCATGCCAATCTCGCGCAAACTTTTCATCATGTTAAGTTGGTACTCATCTGAACCCTTCTTACGCTCGCTAATGGGTGGCGACGGGAAGCTATTGGTTACTTCTAGCACCTGGTCAGTGTCTATTCCTACTAATGATCCAGCCGCGCCACCCGGGTGGCTGTCATGGCAGTGCTTAATGATCTGCAGAAGCGCCACACCTTCCAGCGCTACGTTTGTCACAGTCGTCACGCCTTCGAAAATGTCGACAGCATCAGCAAAATCGGTGGATTCTTCCAGTATTTCAGCAATAGGAAATGGGGTAAGTGATGTGGCTGATATAGGAGCAACGGTAGAGGGCGCTGGTGACGATCCCGTCGGCGACGTGTTCAGACCCCAAGCCATGGTTAACGGATTTAACGACTGGCCGAGTGCGAAACGTGGTTTTGACCAATAATAAGCAGGTTCCAAATTCATAAGATGCATTGGTTGGTTGGCGATAAAGATGCCAATTGACACAAATTAAGCTCGGTGTAAGAAGCTACTACGATGCCCAAGTCTAAGAGACAACGCAGTAAGCTTCCAACAAAGGCGACTAAAAAGAGAAACGAGCTGAAACAGAATTTAGTGGGCGTCATCCGGAATGCAGTAGACACGTTCGAGTCGGCCTACGTTTTCAGCTTTCGAAATATGCGCTCCAATCACTTTAAGAACGTGCGCATGGATTTTAAGGACAGTCGATTCTTCTTAGGTAAGAACAAAGTCATGAAACTCGCACTTGGCCACTCAAAGGAGGAGGAGTACGTGCAGAATATCTATCGCCTATCGAAAGACATAAATGGCAACACCGGGCTGCTATTTACTAACAGATCGCATCATGAAGTCCTTAATTACTTTTCCGAGCTTTCAATTAGTGATTACCCGCGATCTGGATTCGTGGCTACCGAGACGGTCGCAATTCCTGAAGGTCCGCTGCCACAATTTATTGGTAGTATGATCGAGTCGCTTCGTGGTCTGGGACTTCCTTTGGACCTCAAAAAGGGTGTCGTTGTGCTGAACCAGAATTATACAATTTGCAAGATCGGACAGACACTGACACCAGAACAGGCCAAACTACTTGTGCACTTCGACCGCAAAATGGCTAAGTTTAAGCTTGTACTACTGAGTGTCTGGTCCAAGGATAAGTACCAACGTATTGCATCCGACGACACATACACCACTGGTGATGACGACGAGAATATGTAAATCGACATTCTACGAAGGCTGAGAGGAACAAGTAGACACATGAAGGCAGCAATGCACTGCCCTTCGAGTAGTATTTAGCGCACCACTTCAGCACTTTTGAATAAAAATACTTTTTTTGCTCAATACTGCTGAGAATAATATGTTGGTCATGCATATACAGAAACTCCACTCAAGAGCAAATTGTATTTGGATATGGTTTCGTTAATTCTTCCTCACCCTTGCCATTGCCGAACGTCTCCACGCTGTGTCGCAACCGCAAAATGACAGCCTTTGGATCCGCCGCCTTAAAAACGGAACTGCCAGCGACAATCATATTGGCACCAGCTTTAGCTGCTGCATCAATTGTTGATGGACCCAATCCGCCATCCACCTCGATGTCCATTGTTTTGTGCTTTGCACGGATGATCATAACCTTGTGCATCATGTCAGCCATGAAGCTCTGACCGCCAAATCCAGGCTCGACGGTCATAATGAGCACCATGTCCACAAGATCCAGATACGGAAAGGCAGCCTCAGCACTAGTGCCTGGTTTAATCGCCAGACCTACCTTCATTTGAGCCTGGCGAATTTGATTTATGAGAGAAAGTGGGTCTCGCGTTGTCTCCAGGTGGAAGGTGAATTGATCGCCACCAGCTGCTGCAATATCGGAGACCCACTGCTCGGGCTTAGAAACCATCATGTGACAATCAAAAAAAGCCTTGGTATGAGAGCGCAGACATTTAATTACGGGGGGTCCCCAAGAGATGTTTGGCACAAAGTGTCCGTCCATTACGTCCAGGTGAAGGTAGTCGGCGCCAGCAGATAACACCTTAAGAGCCTCTTCTTTGAGGCAGGAGAGGTCTGCTGCCAGCAATGAAGGGCCAATCTTGCACTTGCAGCTGTGGCACATCACAGGAAGATTTAAATTTGTTTGGTCAGTAATAACATATGACTGATGAAATATGTTGTAATTTGGGTAAATAGAACCACATAGTTTTTGCTCACGTGTTGGCCATCGACGATGGCAATTCCCCACCAGATAGCAGACCTAAGCCGCAAGATCTTTCAGCGTCTACCGCAGCGCAATATTCCATCCGGAAACAAGGTCATCAGCAAGCAATTGAAGAGCGAAAAAGTAGTGTCTTGGTTTAACAAGCCTTTGCTTTTGCGTCTCGGCGGGGATGATCCTAACTTTGAAATTTTAAACGAGGAGCGTCTAGGCAAGCTCGACCAAATGAAGAGGCGAGGCAAGTCTATCCCTAAGAAAGGTGCAGGAAAACGCTCCAAGAAGTAGGACTTCAAGGATAAAGCCTGATATGCATCGAATGACCACACGTCGAATTTTAACATTAACTTTGTCGCGTTAAGAGGATGAGGAATGTGGCTTCACTATACTCAAGTAATCAATCACAAGCTAGAACGACATCGTTTTTTAATATGTTTGCAGCTTTTTTTCGTTTGCTGTTGGTTTTGGGGACCTGTATCACACCCACTGCATACAATTTCTTCTGAAATTTTTCTATTTATTTCAAAACTACATTCTAACATACCGATGTCGTCAGACTACGTCTAAGAAAAGCAATTTCAGGAGCTGTTCCTAATTACGGGAAAATTGATTTAAAGCCACGATAAATGGAGGGGAGAGAGGGATTCCGGCGTTAGTTTCGCTAATGATAAATGCATTGTCTGCTTTAAAGTCGATGCAAACGTTAGTTTAAAAAAGGTTTGGGAAATGATAGAGTCCTCCCATCTGATTTTTAGCCTGTATAAAGTCTATCTGGATGATAATCACGTTTGTACCACTAAGTGTACCACTTTTTTGCCGGAACCAATCAATCGAACATTGCAAAATACAACCAGTAAGTAGCAATGGGAACCAACGGCCAGGCAGTCCAGACAATGAATAAGAAGAAAGTCAAGCTTCTTAGTAAGAAACGCGCTGAGATTCGAAATCAGAAGAGGGTGGCAGTGATACAGAAGGGCAAGCGCACAGTATTGCGTAAGCATCGACCGTCCAAAAAGAAACAGCAGAAGGACGCCAAGCGTCATCGTAGTTTCGTTGATGCCGAAAAGAGTAGACTTTTGAGGAGTGGACTTATCACGACGGAGGCTATTGAAAAATTGGGGGCCGAGGATTGTAGTGGTGACGATTATAAGGGCAACAGCCCCGATATCGTTATGGAGGTAGAAAATTGAGTAGCAAAGGTATGATTAAACTTGTTTGAATACGACTTGCGCCTCGTCTGTCTTGCTATCGCGTACTGGTAGCTCCTTCGAAAGCTGCGCGCCCAACTTAGAGGATAACGCGTAATTCTATGGTGACTTCTCCTCGCTGGACGTCTGAGAGTCCATACTACGCGAAGGACTGCCATTGACAAGTACGCGATGCAATACTAAACATGCGCCTCTTTCCCCAAGTTTCCTGGCATGATCCACATCGAAAACCATACAATATTAATGCTAAACTTTTAATTTTCTATTAACGAAGTATTTTATTTAAAATAGCCTATTACTGTATATTCTTGTAGTCAGGCTTATACTGAACGTATCAGTGATGAACACTAATGTGGCTATATTGCTTTGTGTTTTTTTTTAGTTCTAGCTTCAAGTGCTGCACTTTGTGCAATCAATGTGGGTTACTAAATAAAGCAAGCAGTATTGGACAAGCAAAAAAACACAAAATATATCCTTAATGGTGTTTTCGTCCGATTGCTGAGTAAACACAACCTAACGCTTCAGCAGCTTGATAG